CTATTGGGCTGTATGCAAATTAGATACATGTGACAGGAAGTTTGCACAATTAGAGCTAAGCCAAGATTATCTGGAGGTCAGGATCTAAACCAGCAAGAGAGATATTCTACAGTGGACTCCAGAGAGCCAGCCAGAAGGAGACAGGGTGGGGCACAGACTCTGGCTCTGACATGGAACCTTTGTACAGAGAGAGAAGGCCAACTCCAGCAAGGGTTGCTTGGGACACAAGTGGCCCAGGACCTCTCTAGAGACTGCATTTGAAGGAAGAGTGTCTGGAGTCTGCAGCCAGGCTGGGAGAGAGCCTGAAGCTGGCAAGACAGGGCCCAAGCCCACACCAGAGGGTCTGGTCACCAGCCACAGTCCAGTTACCGGGACTCACAGCACCGGTCTCTCTCTTGAGCAAGAGGCTGGAAAACGACTGGTGGGTCACCAGGCCCAGGGCAGTAGGGGAGACAGTCCAGCTGCCTTTAAGGCAGACAGCTGCTCCCTGACTGATATCACAAGACCCACCAAGCCTTACGTGCATTCAGGGACAAGGGGGTCAGTGTTGGAGGCAGCATAGTTCCTAGGGGACAATTAGAGACTCTGGTACAGAGAGACAAACACAAGTGACCAGGCTACCCTGCCACACAAACAGATTCAGGCCAGGCCAGACTCCCACTTTGTTGAGGGGATGAACTTCCACGGGAGTAACCAAGCACTGTCAGGAAGTACAGATTTCCAAAGAACAAATGGAACAGGGTTATTATTTTTGAAGCATTAAGCTTAATGTCTGTAATTTTTATTCCTATTAATCCTGGATTCTTCATCAATATGAGGCTTCCCACACTTTGAAGTGGGGTGCCCACTGATTCAGGAAGGTGGTCACTGCTCAACTGGGAACTTCATTTTTATTATTGTGATTTGGGTGAAAGTTTACAGAGCCAACTAATTATCCATACAGCAGTTCATATACACTTTGTCTCATGACATTGACTACAGTTTCCCACAATGCAACAGCTCCCCTTCCACTTCCTCCCCATAGCCACCTCTTCCCTGTGTCCATCCCTCCATGCACTCCTGCCCCCTGAGCTATCTCCCTGTGCATATACAGCCCTTCTATTCTCCCATGGTTATTCTCTCCAAGGAGTGTATCTACCTAATGCAAATGTTCAGCTCATATGCCTGTCTTTTGTTTGGCTGGAAGCCACAGGAGTGGGTTCAACTCCAGACCTGAAGGGCACCTAGGGGCCATAGTCTCAGGAGTTTGACCAGGCTCTATCTCAACTGGGAACTTTAAATGAAATTATTTTGGATTCTTAGCCAATAGTCTCAGATGATAGTCTTCAAAATCAGACTTGGCTGGGTGAGAAAAAGATGTCCCAGAATTCCCAAAGCTTCTCATCGCAGGTCAAGAGCCCAGCTCGGGGGCCTGTACTCTGCGCTGTTGTGAGGAAGGGTGATTTAACTTATGGGAAATCTCTCTTTCATCTAGTAAGGGGAATGCTGTTTGTGTGCTAAAAGGAATTTAGGACAGAAAGTCTCAGCAGTCAAGATTAGGTAAGATGCTTTCAGGCCTGGAATTGAACTCACTCCCATGGCTTCCAGCCAAACAATATGAAAGGGTGTAAGGTGACCATTTACACCAGCCAGGTGCATTCCTTAGAATGATCAATCGTAGGAGATCAGAAGGGCAGTGTTTGCCCAGGGGGACAGCTCAGAGGGCAGAAATGCATAGGAAAGAAGGACACAGGGAAGAGGTAACTACGGGAAGGAAGTGGGAAGAGAGGTGCTACATTGTGGGGAATTGCAGTCAATGTCACGAAACAAAATGTGTATGAACTGCTGTATGGAAAATGAACTTGCTCTGTAAACTTTCTCCCAAATCACAATAAAAATTAAAGAAAAAAAAAAATACTAGGGAAGATACTTCCTGGGTTCCTAAGAAGAGCCCTAGCCCTGACAACCCCTTTTATTTCAGCTGAAGTGGGCACTGAGGAGGCAGAAACACCCCAGTTGAGGGGAAGCTGGGACGGGCACGTGCCTGTTTTCCAGGAGCTCTGAGGACCTGGCAGAGGTGGTAGAGAGGTCAGCACGAACTGGAGACCAAAGGTAGACACAGAAGGGAACAGGTATCAGCAAGCCCTGAGTGAGCCAGGCAGGAAACCCGGCCGGAGAGCACACGGCTGCAGCCCAGCTCCCCATGAGCAATCGCAGAGCACTGCCAGGTGGAGAAAAGCTCTCATGAATGGCACTAGTGCACATTGTGACCACAAACAAGGATAGAGGGCCGCAGCCAAAGTCCATGGAACCTCATCACCCAGAGGCCAGCAGAAAAGGATGACAGGTGGACAACACTTCTCACCTGCTTCTAAAATGTGGTGCAGGCTTTCCCCATGCCAGGATTTCCTTAAGGGTGAGGGAGGTGCACTTCATGGGAAGGAGAAAGGGGTTGGGAAGAACCTTGAAATGGTCTTCTGCATTTACCTGGAAGATACCATTTTAAACAAAAAGTTGGCTTGAGTGGCAAGTTGTATGCGCATGTGATTGTGTTTTTTGCTATTGTGCTGTTTTGTGGTTGTGGTCTCCTACTCGTTCCTTATGTAGGAGTGAGTGTGGTCAGTGACCAAACATAGAAGGGTTGTCTTTAGTGACCACTGTTATGGATTCAATCGTATCCCCCCAAAATATGTGTCAACTTGGCTAGGCCATGATTCTCAGTACTCTGTAATTATCTTCCACTTCATGATCTGATGTAATTCTCCTACATGTTGTAAATCCTACCCGCTATGATGTTAATGACGAAGGATTCGAGGTGGTTATGTTAATGAGGCAGGATATAATCTCCAGGACTAGGTTGCATCTTGAATCAATCTCTTCTGAGATATGAAAGAGATTAAACAAGCGAGCAGAGATGAGAGGGACCTACTACACCAAGAAAGAGGAGCCAGGAGCAGAGCGTGTCCTTCAGACTTGAGGTCCCTGCACTGGGAACCTCCTAGACCCAGAGAAAGATTGATGCCAAGACACATGAAGATCTCCAAGGAAAGGGGGGCCACAGATGTTGAGAGGAGACAAGGACCTTCCTCCAGAGCCAACAGAGAGAGAGCCTTGCTGAAGCCATCCATCTGTGGTTATGTTTGTTATAGCAGCACTAGAGAACTCATACAGCCTCTATTTCCTGCAGTCCTAGGTTTGCAGACCTGAGCAAGGGAGGGAAAGACAACTGCCTGGCCAAAGACCCCCCAAGAGGTTTTTTATTAAACATGGAAGCCTAGTGCCACCTAGTGACAAGAGATGGAAACTCCCTTAGCAACGGGTCAAGGGCAAGGCCTGTTAGCCCAAAGCAGAGAACTGAAATGGAAGACACAACAGAACCACGTTTTAACGTTTCTGACTTGGGGCTGGAGAGACTTTGCACTGCTCTCCAGCATCACTATCCAGGCCTCAGGAGACAGCACAGAGCCAAACTGTTTGGGTTTGAATCCTGATCCCCCCATTTACTATGTGCTGTGGTTTATAAATACGGTCCCATGCAAAGATGCAGTCTAATTCCTGTCCCCTTGAGTGTGGGCTGGACTTCATGACTTCCTTCTAATGAAGAGAATGTGGCAGAAGTGATGGTGTAAGTCAGAAAAGACACAATGGCTTCCTCCTCTCTCTCTGATAGCTTGTTCTGGGGGACAACCAGCTGCCTCATCAATGGGCCATTCAAGCAGCCCTATGGAGAGGTCTACCAAGACCTCCTGACAACAGCCATGTGAGTGAGCCATCTTGGAAGCAGACCATCACAGCCCAGGCAAACCTTCAGATACTGCAGCCCCAGCTGGCATCTTGACAACAACCTCAGGAGACACCCTGTGCCACCACTTCCTAGCTAAGTGGCTCCTGGGTTCCAGACCCACAGAAACCATGAGATAATAAATACTTGCTGTTCTAAGCTTTTAACTTTTGCGGTAATTGTTACACAGTAATAAATAACTAGTTCACTAGGTGTGGGACCTTGGGTGAGTCTTGTCACCCCTTTATAAAAAGGGGCAATGCTAATTGTTAGGGGACACTTCTGACTGGGTCTCCCACATTCCACATGTCCTGCGAACAGAGGCCCTAGTTGCTTTTGTTGCAGGGTATCTTTTCAAGGACTCAAAAACCAAAACCAAACTGACTGCCATCAAGTTGATTCTGACTGATAGTGACCCTCATTGGGTTTCCGAGGAGGTAAATCTTTACGCAAGTAGATTGCCCCACTTTCCTTCTGTGGAGTTGCTGGTGGGTCTGAACTGCCAACCTTCTGGTTATCAGTCAAATGCCTTACGCACTACACCACCAGAGCTCCTTTTCAAGGATATTTTATAACAAACATCCTTGGAAGATAGAGACAGTGTCTTCCTCCAGAGCCAAGGGCAGGCAGGCTTTCTGCCTGTTTCAAAACAGTCAGGTTCCCTAACCTCAGGGTTCATCTCGCTGAGAAGACAACTGAGCTTGGGGAACCAGCTCAGCAAATGCTGGTATCGTGCAGGGCAAGAGTCCTCTGTCTCTGAGCCCAGAGGCTCACATCTCTGCTGGCATCCACGAACCTGAGGCTAGCTAACTTGTTAGCCCACAAGAGGGTCAAGTACTAGGCCCTTCATAGTTCCTGCTACCACCATCCTCAGAGTTGTTCTGCAGGCTTCATGAATTGACTCAAGTAGAGTCCTGGACATGGTGCCTAGCATGCGGTCAGTGTTCAATGACTATTAGCTCTTATTCTTGCTGGGGTCCCTGTGTGGTGAAAACTATTAGCATGTCTGACTGCTAACCGAAAGGTCGGAGGTTCGAGTCCAGCCAGAGGTACCCTGGAAGAAACCTGAGCATCTCCTTCTGAAAAGTCAGCCACAGAAAACTCTCTGGAGCACTACTGCCCGGAAGCCATCTTTAAACTTCGAACTGAATATATCCCTGGAAGTCTTCTTGAAACCAAACAATAGTTGAGCTTAACTAGTGAGGAAAGTCTGTCTTGAGCCTTGAGCTCTTTTAAGAGCTATCTGAACAGGATCAAAGTGACAACAGCAACTCAAAAGATTAGGTAGGGATCTCAGGAGGCAGTGAGTTTATGTTCATGGGGGAAGAACCACTCAGAAAAGGAGGGTGAGAATGGTTGCACAACTCAAAGAACACAGTCAGTGTCACTGAGTCACATGGGTAGGAACCGTGGCACTGGTGTCTGGTCTGCTGTGCATGTTCTCACCAAGAACAAATAAAACGTTATTTCAAAAAAGAAAAAAAGAAAGAAATCCAACAGAGCAGTGATGGTCTGACACCCAGGGGTCACTGGGAGTCAGAAGCAACGCAGCAATAACTGGTATGTTATCTACATGCACGTTTGCATATTCTGTAAAAGCCCACCTTGTTCAAGATCGTCAGAACTGTCATCATTGTTGTTCTCCAAGATCACGTCCAGGGAGCTGGTGTTGCTGTCGTACACCACGCAGTATTTCACACACTCCAGATCCACAGACTCTGGAATAAGATACTCCTTTCCTTTCTGAGGGAACCACAAGAGAGGTCTATTGGTGGGTGGGTCCTGTTCGGCAAACGCTTCCTGCACACCAACACCGGGAAGAGCTTGGAGCTGAGGCTACGCTCTTCCTCGACATACACACAAGGCGTGGAAGCACTGAGAGAGGAGACCGGAGGAGCATCTGTTGATCCCCAATCATCTTCCACACCTGTATCACCCTCTGAGGAAAGCTGACCACAGCTGATTGGACCAGAGGTAAGTGCCTGACCAAAGAACAGATAGTCTACTGACTGGTCCACACAAGGGCACTGTCAGAGCAACAGTAGCCAACCACACTAACGATAGTCTCTCTGGTGGGGAGGGTTAGGTAGGCAGCAGGGGTTAAACCGAGAAATAACCATAAAGAGAGCAGTGAGCAGAAAGCTCGATTAAGCAGCAGGTATGATGAGGCAGACTGTAAGCTAAAACATAAGCTCTGTAGGAAATAGGGATTTTTGTCCTTTTTGTTCACTGCTAGTGCCTGGCACATTTTAGGCATTTGACAAATACAGTTAAATAATGAATAAGCAAACAGAAGCCATGAGGTAGAGAGCAGTTAGTGAGTAGTAGCATCAAGGAGTGGCTGAGTCACCACAACAGTGCATCATAAGGGTAGCAACTACAGATGCCTGCCGCTAAGGAGGTGACGAGATCTCAGTGCACAGGCTCACAGAGTGTGGTCCAGCAATCCAGGGGGCGTCCAAGAGGTGGCAGCTAAGAGTCTAGTCTTCTCCACTTCTTCTAATGTTTTCCATAAACCCCCATAACTCAAGGGAACCTGAACCTGACTCTGTCACTTGTAACTTCATCCATCTGACACAGAAAGACACATTGGAGGACCCGAAGATGAGATATGGCAAGTACCAATCCACCCTATTAGAAGGTGGAGTAAGGTAAGGACCAGAGGGGTACACACCAAGGATTTTCTCTGGGATTCAAAGAGGAGAAATCACATTTGTCTAAAGGAATTAGGAGAGACTTCAAGAAGATGCCTTTATCAGTGAACATTTACATCAGGGAGATACACTCCTTAGAACGATCAAATCATGGAAGAACAGAAAGGCAGTATTTGCATAAGGAAATGGCTCAAGGGGCAGGAATGCATAGGAAAGAAAGACACAGGGAAGAGGTAATTAAGAGGAGGAAGTGGGAATTCACAGGGAATTGCAGTCAATGTCATTAAACAAAATGTGTATGAACTGCTGTATGGAAAATGAAATTGTTCTGTAAACATTCACCCAAATCACAATGAAATTTTTTTTAAAAAAGAAGATGTCTTTTATCCACTCCTAGCTATATCCAAAGGAACTGAGAGCAGAGGCCCAAACAGACACTTGTACGCCAATGCTCATTGCATCATTATTCACAACAGTCGAGAGTCGAGAGGTTGAGACAACCCAAGTGTCCATCAACAGAGGAATGGATAAACAAACTGTGACCCACAGACACAATGGAGTGTTACAGTCACAAAGAAAAACGAAGATCTGCTCTACGCCACATGGATGAACCTTGAAAACACTGAAACAAGCCAGACACAGAAAGACAAACACGCCCTCTCCTTAGTGAACGCCTATCATGTTAGTCAACATTTCACATTTATAACAACAGTAAAAAAATCTACTATCCAAGTATTTTTTTGCATTAATGACATACATCTGGCAGTAACAAATGCTGAGGTGTGAGGTGAGAGTAACCCTGGCCCCTGTAATTAAGGTTATGTGTCAACTTGGCCGAGCCATGATTCTCATTGATTAAGCAGTTACGCAATGATGTAATCTGTTAGTTGTAAAATGACGCGGTCATGCTCCATTTTGTGATCTGATATAATCAGCCTCCATCTCCACATGCCAATTTTTGTATAATGACCTGATCTTTGACACCTGACCACGTCAATATGTGAGGAGAGTATAATCCCACTTATCTGAAATCTGGAACAGGAAAATGCCTACAGACAGAAGGTTTGCCATTTTAATGGCAAACTCTATGTTACATATATTTTACCACAATAAAATCTTTTTAAAAAAGATGTCAATCAGATGGCACTTGGAGGATCAGTAGGTTTTAGTCAGATGACCACGAGGGAAGAAGGAGTTTGGGGGATGGAGAGGAACATGGGCAAAGTGTAAAGATGTGAACAGCCCATGGAGGCTGGGGCAGGTGGAAGACGGACCTGCACATCCACTCAGTCATTCCATGAACAGTAATGACTGAGTCCCTGCTTTGTACCTACCCTCAGATTCTGGAATCCAGAGATTTCAAAAGGAAAAGAGAAATACTCAATCAGCCTGGAAGACAGGCCCCACGGAACGGGGGCATTCGAGAGGAGACTTGAAGGACGGATGGAAATGTGCTAGATAGATGAGGTTCTGCAAAGTGTTCCAGGAAGGAGGAACTGCTTCCACTCATTTGTTTCAGTCACCAAATACGTACAGAGCAGCTACCAGATGTCAGGGGCGATCCTGTGCATCTGGGGTACAACGAAGAGCAAAGGGGGTGCAGAACAACACAGCGGCAACAGGGAGGGTGGGAATTTTGCAAGACGGTATTTTGGAAGTAAAACTGACACACAGCTAGTTGGATGTGGACAGGTGAAGCTGTCAGCTTGGATGAAATCTCGGAAAAGGAAGTGTACTGACAGACGGGAAGGAGATCTTTGGACAGCAGAGGGTGGAAATGAAGCTAAATCAAAGAGATGGAGAAGAAACCAGGGAGAAGGGGAGAGCCTCAAAGGCAGAGCATGTGATCCGAACTGCAGCGGTTAGAGCCGCATGCTGAGCAAAAGCAATGCAGACAGGGGGCCCACTGCTGGAGGGAGAGGTGACCCAGGGCGACTGCATGCATAACTCTGCTTTTCAAAAGTTGCTGGAATGGGGAAAAAAAGAGGGGAAGGGAGGGACTAGGCTTCCGCCTTTTAGTTCAATATCTCCACTGTTTAATGTCTTTCTCTGACTAGAAGCCCTGTGAGGTCAGAGGCTGTGAACTATGGACATCTTGTATTCTGTTGGCCCTGGACTCATGCCTGGCACATCCAGGAATTAAACAACATTTGTTGAATGACTCTGGTGACCGTGGTGGGGGCAGGGGACAGCTTGGGTAGACCGTGAGACCTGTGGAAGATCACTGTGGTAGATAGCAGTCTTGCCTCTGCTGCCCACAGAACCCAACGGTGAGTGCTCTCTCCAAGGCCTTGGACAAAACCTCCCTTTTTCTCATCCTCCATAAGGTAGCCAGCCTGCCTCCAATTTGGACTCTACTGGCGTACCTGCTTCACTCGGCGAGCAGTAATCACATGGCTTTCATCATACTCCCATTTGGCACGAACATCTGAGAACGAGAGCATTTAATTAATAACTGTATTTGCAAAGGGGCACATGACAAAACTACTTAGAGTACTTAGATCACTATCAACAAATATGTGCTTGGCAATTAGGGACAGTCACCATCAGTTTAAAATTTAAGGTATGTATGACACACAGACACAAATTCCAAATGGATGAAGGACCTAATCCTTAGTCCTTATTTAGTCCTTTAAAAATCAAAACCAAACCCACTGCCATCAAATCAATTCCAACTCATAGTGACCCCAACTGGGTTTCCAAAGAGGTAAAGCTTTAGGGAAGTAGATTGCTCTGTCTTCCTTCCATGGAGTGACTGGTGGTTTTGAAACACCAGCCCTCTGGTTAGCAGTCAAATGCCTTAGGCAGTATGCCACGAGAGCTCCAAATTGTACATTATGGCACCATAATTTTAAAACCACACTTATTACTTAGAGACACCTGTATATGTAGTAAAAGTGTGGAAATATGAGGAGAAAGAGGAATGGAATCTGAACAGGGCACAAAAGAGGGAGGCCCCTATGTCTCTGACATTTTATTTAGTATGTTAAATCTGAGTGGTGGGGACATGAGTGTTTATTAATATTTCTGTATGTTTGTTATAGTATATGTTTCAAATATTTCACTATAAACAATTAAGAGGACTTAGCACACAAGTCTTCTGGGAACTTCCCCTCTAGGTTTAATCCAGGATGATTTTCATGTTACAGCTAGAAGCAGCATTTTGAGCTATGCCTAATGAGTCTAACAGTTTTCTGAAGTCATTCAGTTCCCCCAACAAGTTTGTTAATAAGTCAAAAGTAAGGACACTTATTTTTGAAGGACACTGTCCACAGCAAACCAACACTGGAAGAAAAACAACAGCAACAGCACTTACCCAGTAAACAGAGATAGTTGGGTTCAGCTAATCTGGAGAGTTTTGAAACCTGGTTCAGGATGTTGTAAAGCTCTGTTGGTTCACACAAGACCAATTCCCCCATCCTACTGAGAAGAACAAACAAGCTTAATATGTATCTCTCTATTTTAGATGAATGCCACAAAGTAAGATATTGAACTAAACTCTTTTTTTTTTTTTTTTT